AGTAAAAAAAAAAAAAAAAAAAAAAAATATATATATATATATATATATATATATTCTAAAAAAAGAAAAAAAAAGAATATATAGTTTTGTGAAATCAGAACTAAACTTTTAACTTTAAAAATTATAAGTATTTAATTTTTTTGAAACTACTTTTTGATTTAACAAAAAAATAAATAATAAATAATAATAATAATTTAATATAAAAATGAATTCTCAAACAAAAAAAAAAAATTGAATTTTGAAGTCTCTCCTTCTAGTTGTAAGTAGTTAGAAATTTTAATTTTTAAAAATAAGAAAAATACAAAACGCATATGTAGAAAGAGAACACTATTTCCCTCATTTACTAAAATCCCCGGCTTTCATCTTCTGCGGTCCTTTCGCTCTGTGTTCTACAAATGCCTGTAAGTCCCTCCAAGCTTAAGATCCAGATCTCGTACAACATCAATTCAATCTCAAGTTCTAGGGTTCTTTATTTTATAAATGTTTTGTTTTCTTATGCAATGGAATTTGTGAATTTCTGATTCGAGAAAGATGATTGCGTTCGTCGCAGTTCGGGACGTTCGTTGAAGTGGAACCGCCCAGTCCACTCCGATACATAATTGGGGCCGTTATAATGATGATCGGAGTCGTATTGCCCCTCGGATACATGATGCTCCGGAATAAGCGTGGACCTTCTTCTTCTTCTTCTTACTCCAAACAGACGTAGGTGTGCCTATGAAGTTTACTTTGTTTTCGTTGTTCTTTCTTTACTCCCTAGTTTATTAGTTCTTTCCTCTTTAATTTTCGCGTTATCTATTAAATTTAATCATTTCTATGACCTGATATTTATTGGAAATCATGGTCGTCCGGTTATTATTATTATGTTTATATGAAATTGGATTTGTTCTTTAATTGCCAATCTTGTTGACCTGATTAATGGACTTTCGGAGTTCGGTTTTACTGGAAGTAGTCGGAATTGGGTATAATTGGTTGTTGAGCTTTTATTCTAGCGTAATTTATTAGGATTCTGGAGTCTGATGTACCTTACAAATTCCAAAATGAGTTTTTGGTGGAATTTTCGTTTAGAAGGTGAAGGGAATTTCTTGTTGTGCGCTGAATTATCTCTTATGCCTGTTGTTGAGTAAATATTGATTATGTAGTTTTTACGAAAACCAAAAAGCTTAGCTGTAGGAGCTCCTTGATTTCATAGATGAATTTCCCTCTTTGATTCCTTTTCTTTGGACTTTCTTGTTGAAGCTTTTCTGAACATATGAGAAACCTGGAAAATGATCATGATCCTCAACGAGTTTTCTGGTTTGAGGTAGAGGGTGAGATTTCTAACTAAATTATGTTTTGGATGACCAGCATATTGAATGGGTACATGTTGGAAGTCTTGGTGGATGCGATTAGTCATTCGACTTGCAAATCTTTGGCTTTCTTTTTAAACTAAAAAAAAACTTGCTGAGAACATCATCTTCTCCCTTCCCTTCGATCTCCCAGTATCCTCATCTCTCCCTCTTTCCTTCACTGCATAATTTCATGTCTGCTGGTACCTCCACGATTAGTGTTGCCCTCGTGATGGAAAGGCAATGTCAAAAGAAAAAAGAAAAAAGAAAAAAGAAAAAAGAAAAAAGAAAAAGAAGAAGAAACAATTGATGGAGAGGCATAGTGTGGGTGGGATTTTCATCTTCCTTATAAGTGGTTGTGGAGAGTAGATAAGAACATCCAATTTGCAAAGTGTAGAATGGGTAATATATGTCAAGTGTCAACTGTACTTTTATGATGAATCTTGAAACAGAACTACTCGAAATTGAAACATGTATGGGGGCTGTCATAGGTTTAAGACTTATCTATATATCTATTTTTAGGGTGAAATGCACAATTTATTTGAGTATGCCCCCTGTACTTCTTGGTCTATTTCTTGTGAACTCCCTATTCTACTTCTGAGATTTTAGTCCTAGCCATTTGTAGTTTCTGAGTCCAACTTCGTTGGACATTCTACATACATGATACATATGTAACTAATTTAGGCACTTCATAGCTTATAGTTCTCTCTTTTCTTTATGGAGGAGCATCATCTTGGATTTTTGATGGAAGAAGATTCTCCTGTGTGTTAGACGTAGGAAGATTATTCCGTAATTTTTCCAACCTCCTGAACTAAGATATTATTCCTCTCTTATCCGTATCAATTGAGAGATATCCATGTAAAGGTCACATGGTTCGTATGCAAAACTTTCGATAAGTTTAATGAAAGGACAAACTTTAGTTTAAGGAAGGGCAGTGCAAGGGTTTGTATGTATGTGTATACGAATCATAGAATACTTGGGAAGAAGTTACTCAAGTCTTTTTTTGCAATCTTAGAGAGCGAAGCTGCCATCCAAGTACAAATACCTTCGTTTAAGATAATATTTTTGGATAGAAAGTTTCAAATTCAGGATCTTCATCTGTACATATTTCCTGATAAATGAAGTCATAGGCACGTAGGTTCAGGGCCAGACCAACAACTCCTAAAGCATTCATCCATAAACTAGTTACAGGTACAAATAACATCACGTTTATTGGAAAAAGCAATCCCACAGATCTGGGTAACCATCAGGTAGGATTTTTAGATGGATAGAGAGGTCTTTGGAGGATGTGCAGGAGGTTGTGAGATTTCTTTTGCATCTTTATGAGCGTCCACTAATCAGTCTTTTTGTTATTATCAGCTTGGTATTTTTTTTTGTTTTGTTTTGTTTTCTTAAATGAAAAATCCATTTCTTACCTCCTCCCTCCCCCCCCC